GTCTGTAAAGATCAGAGGTTCCTTCTTCTTTCGCTTAGGCAGCGGTGGCCTTTGTACCTCGGCCAGGTACACCATGTTCTTCCACTTCTTCCGGGAGGATACCGAATCTCCTCCAGTGTTTCCTCCCATGATGAACCGACACCCCAGGTGTCGGCGACCTTGCCTCTCCTCCTCATCTAGGTCATCACAATCTCGCCCTAGGTGCCGCCGTCCATCTTCTTGCCCCTCTCCTGCTGTGATCGCTGCCGTGGGGGCTGGCGGCCTCCTCCAGGTCCGGTTACTTGTGGACGGTCGCTCTGACCGAGGAGGTGGCCCTCTAGCGATCAGCTGATCCATCTCCTTCTTCAGCGTAACGCACTCCGACGTGTTATGGGTGCTGTTACGGTGGTACTCGCAGTATTTGGGTGCATCTTGCACACCATAGCTTTCCCGACCATGAGGAGGGGCCGACAACGACTGTACCGCGTGAACGGGATGCCTGTTCGCATGATACCCGGTGGGGTTCGGCCCCTTACCATATTCCTTCCTCTTCTTTCCTTCTGCCACCGGTGGCCCGCTTTTCTTCTCCTTCCGGACTGGTGGCTCATCATCTACCTCTTCCAGCGCCAGGTACTTCGCCCTGGCCAACATCTCTTGATAGGTCGAGAGAGGATTCCGTCGCAGCTCCTTACGCACATCCCCTTGGGGGAGTGCAGCTTGGAGCATGGCGATTAGGGCTTGGTCGTCCGCCCCTTGGACATCCCTAGCCTCCTTCTCCCACCTATTAATGAACTCCCGGAGCTGTTCCCTCTTCTAGATCTTCACATTGAGCAAATGCGAGAAGGGGAGCTCTTGTCTCCGGCTGGACGCGAAGTGCTCCAAGAACTTGTGGGCCAGGTCGCCCCACTTATCTATCGACCCCTTGGGTAACTTGTGAAACCACTCACAAGCCTGCCCTTCCAGTGTCGCTAGGAAGCACCGACACTTGATTTCTTCTGGATACGCGTACATGACCACGTTGGCCCCGAAACGAGCGAGGTGGTCTTGGGGATCGGTCGTCCCATTGTATGCCTTGATCTGGGGAGTCTTGAAATTATCTGGGAGAGGGCAGGACATTATCCTCCTGGAGAAGGGCGTTACCTCACTAAAGACCGCCTGGCGATAGGGGTTCTGGGCATCCAGCCGCTTCTCCAGTTGTTCGTACATTTTCCATAGCTCGGCTGCACCCTTATCCCCGACTGTCGTCCGTCGCTCCTCAGAACCGACCTTGGAGGTCGCTGTGGACTCCCCTCTCTTCTCCTTGAGTGTGTCTCTCAAGTCGCCTTTTCGGGCCGACCGAGTGTCCTGCAACCTTTCGAACGCAGAGGTCCGAGGTTTCTTCGACTTGGGATCTCCCAAACGGTCAAAAGCAGACATCCGCTCGAAGGAAGACGACTCGTCCTCTTCTTCCAGCGTGGAGAGCGCATCTGCCATCATAGCCTTCCCATTGGGCTTGGTCGCCTTCTTCTTCTGGGACCACCTCACTTTTTTCTTTTTTCCTTGGGAGCCCGCAGGTCCAGCCTTCTCGCCTGTGGGTCCCCCAGCCACATCTCCCACCACTACCTCGCGGTTGGGCGCAAGTGCGGCCAGCACCTCCTTGAATTGTTCGGTCGTGATCCCAACCCTCTGAATGAGGGCCTCAGCCTCCCCGGTGGTGATGGGGGGGTGAGGACCTCCAGTGGCGCTGTTCTCCCCCTGTTGGGGAACTCCGGTACCTACGTTGGCGTTGCTACGTGTTTGCACCATCGTCGTTGTGGAGGATTTCTTCCGAGTATGATTCTCGAACTCTCAACGAGAGCACCAATTTGATGGACAATAAATCCACCAAATGATCCGATTTACAGAGCGGATCGCACGAATAAAATTAAGAACAAGAATTCGAGAATTGGATGTGTATTACTAGCTTGATTTTGCTTGAGTTCTCCCCTTTCGGGTCCCTTCTTTTTATACACGAGCTCTCAACAATTAAGGTGAAGCATAACCGATGGAGTCTAGCCCGCCAAGGGCGCGATCCCCTTTTCCCGGCTCCGTAACGGCCAATCAGCTCCGTCTCCTTCTCCGGACTGACTTTGCCAGCTGCGCTTGGCCTGAGGTTAACTAGGCCCAGCTCCTTGGGCCGGCCCAGCTTGAGTATTTCACAGGTCCTTGACCCGAAGCTGTTTAAATGGTTCATTTGGGCCGTCCTTTGGATATCGGCCCATCAGCATCAAAGAGCATAAAAACCTAGTCATGCAATGAAAGCCGCCAAATGTTAAAGTAAAAATGCATTCTGACCAATACCTTATTTGGTATGCATTTTTACTTTAAAATCATAGTTGTTAAGTAACTTGTTCAATATTTATAAGAAGGTCCATTCACATATTAAGGCCCTGTTATTTTGGGTTGAAAAAATTAACTTCCAACTTCTTCCCACTCCTTCTCGTTCCTTCCAACTCTTTCCAGTTTCTTCCAACAATGACTTAAAAAAGGCATTTATATCTGATTAATATAGAATACCATTATATATCAAATCTATAATGTATCACTTCAAACATAACAACGATGAATTCTATTTTTATCCAAAATTAGAGTTTTCTATTTAATTAGGTGATCATTTAATTGAGTGACTTTTTAACACTTTAATTCTTCCAACATTTTTCAACTCCTTCTAGTTCCTTCCAACTCCTAGTTTCTTCAAATATCCAACTCTGAAATTCCAACTCAAAAGAATAGGGCCTAGATTTAGTCAAGAATGAGTACGGAAAAAACCTCAAGAGCCTTGCACACTTTGGCCTTGTTTGGATACTGGCAGTTGGCTGTTGGCTGTTTATTTTAGCTGGTTTGAATGGTAGATTGAGTTAGCTGTTTTGACTGGCTGTTTCTGTTAGCAGCTAAATTTAAAGTGTGGCAACTTTAGCTGTTTATAGTTAGCTGTTTCTAAGTAAAATTACATAAAAGGACATCCCTCCATTTATGTTAATTTGTATGCAATTTTTAAATTTTCTTTAATTTTCATAAAATACGCACATTATACAAGCAAAAAATTGCTGCTGGGTACCCTTAATTTTGGGATAAAGACTAGCAGGTCCCATTGTTTTTCAAAATATACTCCGAGGTACCTTAAGATATTCGAAAACTGACTCCGGGGTGACAATCCGTCATTCTCTCCGTTAACATTTCTTCTCCGTTATCCTCCTCCTCCTCCTCTTCTCAAAAAATTGCTGCCAGGTACCCCTTATTTTCGGATAAAGA